GGCTAGCCTTTCTGAAACTCTCAGACTCAATTGTGCAGCCAGTCTGCATGACTCTTAGCCAGAACCAGTCATGTGCCACAGGCAGGACAATATCCAGCTGGTGCCTCCACAGGGCTTGGGAACCTGATAGGAGACACATGAGGACATCTCAGAGGACAGTGAGCTCAAGTCTACTCACAGCCCTCCTGACTGACCAGAGGGGCCCATGCCTCTGGGTCACATACCATAGCTCACCTGGCCCTTTGGAAGAAGTTGACCTTGGTAACCTGAAGCCTTAGGGAACCAATATATCCCTGAGTCACCAGAGGACAGCCAAAGGGACTGCAGTTACCAACACTGAGAAGCCTGCAAGGGAATCTCCAGTGGCTGCTCACTGTGCATGGTGCCAAGGACAGAGGCCAGCGATGGCCCTGGCAGTCAGAACAGGGAGTGAGAAGAGACATGGGGCAACTATCCTATTGTGTTTGGGATCTTCAAGGGTTACCTAGGTGACCAAGTTGCCAGATGTTCTCAACCACAGGCGGTTTTACCCTAAGGGGGATCTTTGGCCGTGCCTGGAGACATATTCATGGTTACAACTAGGGAGGGACACCTGGTGGGCCAGAGCTACTGCTGGACAGCCTGCCATGCAAGGACAGCCCTGTAAGCAAAGACCATCCCAGCCCAAAAGTCGGCAGTGCCGAGGCTCCAGATCTGCTCTGGGGCACCCAGGCCGATAGAGACCCCAATGGGCCCCAGAACTGCCCAAGGAATCAGTGAAAGCCCAAATTCAGAGTCTCTGTTTCCAAATGACGTCCTGACTGAGTATCCAAGAATCCCAGAGATAGGTTGAGCCAAGAGGGAGGCTCCAAAAACACAATGAGGAAGAAGAGGGTGTAGAGGAAGTCCCTGATCCTCTTATAATGGCCCTCAGGTAGGCTTAAGGCTTCTGAACCATCCCAAGAATCCACAGTCTGGCCCGGGAGAGACATGTGTAAGAGTAAAGATGGGAGTCCCAGAGACTCCCCTAGACACTCCAGGGAACAGCTGTAGGAAAGGATATCCCTGGGGCAGGCGTTTGGCTCAGTAGTTAAAATGCCACTGGGGATGCCCGCATCCCACATTGGAGAGCTTGGTTCAAGTCCTAGCTCTGCTTCCGATTCCATATTCCTGCTAGTGCACACCCGGGAAGCAGCAGTGATGACTCAAGCACTTTGGTCCATGCTACCCATGTGGGAGACACAAAATGAGTTCCAGGCTCCTGGCTTCCACCTGGCCCAGTACCACCTGTCGTGGATATTTGGGGAAATGAACCAGCAATGGAAGCATGGGAGTGCTCTTTCTCTCTATCTTTCAAATAAATAGTAATTGAAAGGTGAATATTCTAAAAGGTGAAATAAAATGACATCCTAGCTACTGAAGCTGCTGACCTCCCCTTTCTGAGAGCCTCCTGGGGAGGGGAGGAAGGGAGCAGGCACTCCCAGGAGAGAGTGCCCCAGGCATTTTGTGACAGGGGACTCTCTCCTGGGATGAACTCCAAAGAGCAAGTATGCCTCCTAAAGAGGCATTGCAAGTACAGACTTACCTGTCTTAGCAGGGGGCTGGCCCCTGGGGAAGGCTGTGTGTGTCCTGAGAGAATCCTGCACACTCTGAGGATTCCAAAGGGAGAAAGAGTCCTGAAAAACTCCATGATTCTTTATTTTTCAGTTTTATTTTACTGAGGCAAGAATGGTGCATGTGAGATCTACTCTCTCACCAGCAGTTTTAAGCGCACAGTACAGTGTTGTTAATGACAGGGAACCTTCCCGTGGAGCAGATCTCAAACGTTTTCATCTTGTGTAACTAAAACTTGACGCATGGTGAAAGGCAACCCTCTCCTTCCCCTCCCCACAACTCCTGGCAAACGCCATCCTCCTCTGTTTCTCTATTTCAGAAAGCTCACATAAATGGAATCTGTCTGTGTTTGTCCTTCTGCGTCTGGCTTACTTCAGTTAACATAATACCTTTCAGGTTCATCCATGTCATCCTAGATGGCAGAATTTCCTTCTTTTTTCTTCTGTTAAAGATTTATTTATTTATTTGAGAGGCAGAGTTATAGACAGAGAGGGAGGTCCTCCCTCTGTCGTTCATTCCCCAAAAGGCTACAACGGTCGGAACTGAGTTGATCCGAAGCCCCGGGACTAGGAGCCTCCTCTGGGTCTCCCACGTGGGTGCAGAGACCCAAGCACTTGGGTCATCTTTCTCTGTTCTCTCAGGCCATTAACAGACAGCTGGATTGGAAGAGGAGAAGCCAGGACTTGAACCAGTGCCCATATGGAATACCGGTGCCACAGACAGAGGTTTAACCTACTACAGCACAGCGCCATCCCCATATTTCCTTCTTTTTAAAGCCTGAATAGTAGTCTACAATGTGTGAGTGTGTGTGTATTTGTGTATGTGTATGTGTGTGGTTGGATGGAGGTGCATATTACATTTTATTTATCCATTCATCCCCTGATGAATAATTAAGTTGTTTCCAAAGCTTGGCCATTGTGAATAATACTGTAATCAACATTGGAGTGTATATAACTCATGTCTCTTTGCAATCTTGGTTTCAGCTGTTATGGATACATAACCAGAAGTGGAATTACTGCATCAAATCGTAGTTTTATTTTGAATTTTTGGAAGACTCATCATACTGTTTTCCATAATGGCTGCACCATTTTACGTCCCCACCAACAATGTACAAGGGTTTTAATTTCTGCACATCCTCACCAACACTTGTTATCTTTCGTTTGTCTATTTGCTTGTCAATAATTACTCTAACATATGTGAGGTCATATCTCATTGCGGTTTTAATTTGCATTTCCCTAGTAATCAGTGATGCTGACAATCTTTCCTGTTGGCCATTTGTATTTCTTCTTTGAAGAAATGCCTCTTTTGAATTCTTTGCCCATTTTTCATTGAATTTTATTTGTTTGCTTTCGCTAGTGAGTTGTAGGAGTTCCTTTTTAAATTTTGAATATCAGGCCTTTATCAGGTATATGGCTTCCAAAATATTTTTCCTGTTCTATCAGTTGCCTTTTCACTCTGTTGACTGTTTCCATTGAATGACTATGAAGTTCTTGTGGGTTGCTATAAACCATAAGGTAAAACTTGTAACCCAGTTTATTTTAAGTACTGCCATTTTTATTGCTTTATTTGAAATGAATCCCTAATTCATAATTTTGGGTGTTTTTTTTAAGATGACCAATTGACTGTGGGTGTCTGATTCTCTAGGTTAATGACAAAATTTTCATTTTCTCCAAATTTACATGGTCCCGAAATACAAGGTCATGTTGCCTTCTCTCCATTTAGTTAACGACATTTCCTTGTCCTATGTACTCCGACCCAATATCTATACTGCAGGCTTGTTGGGAGGATTAAGTAAAGTAGAAGGTGAGACACTTGATGCCCAGCATGCAGCAAAATACTCAGCATGTTACCATCACCAGCAGGCCCAGTAACAATGGCAACGCACCTGACGTTTCTGTTCTGGAGCTGAAGTTGCCTTGCTGCCTTATTTCCCCTGCCCTCCTCATCTCCATATCTAAATCTACTCTGAGTCCAACCTATAGATCTAGGTTGGTTTTTCAGCCAACTTCAAAGAAAATAAGATATTCAGGGCTTAGAGTTAACCCTCCTTTCCTGGGTCCAAGGTCTGGTAGCCCAGCCTAAATGTGGCACTCCTAGATTTCACCTTTGAAATTTCTTCACTCTTAGCCAGTCCAGGAATCCAGTGCCCCAAGAGTGTGTGCACATGGATCCAGACACAGTGACATTTTGTGAGATATTTTGTAGGTCACTTTGGTACTACATGATTACAATGGGGCCAGTCTAACAGAATTTGGGCTCAATAAGTGCCGATATGTTCAGTCACACTCAGCGCACACCCTTCCCTCTTAAATCAGAGAACTACCTGAATGATAACCTATTTTCTCAGAGTTCTTCCCCCAAATCTCTGCCTTGTGTTCTGGTCCCAAACCAAAAGTCCCAGGATCTCTTGCTGTTGTCTGAGCATCCATCCACCTCCTGGATGCCATGGTTGGCCCTGGCCTTCTAGATTTGAGCATGCCTGTGCTTGGCTTGCTTTGAAGGCACACTTTGTATGTGCAGGACCACCTAGCTAGGCTTGGGAGAGCATCTGTAGCCTGACCAGTTGGGAGCCAGGCCTCCCAATAGCCTCCTCCTTGGGCTAGCCAGTACTTTTATACTACCAGGTACTAACTTGCCTCCCAGATAAACCCTTTCAAGTCACCAAAGAGGGCCCTAAACCTTGAGCAGGTTTCCTAACAACTCTCATTCTGCCTTCTCTTCCTCCCTATTTGCTCTTTCCACCCCAGGACTTTGATTTACCTCTCTTCTTCTCTTCTCCCTTCTTTCTTTCCCGTCAACCTCTGCTTCAAGCAGGCCAGGTTCCCAAAGAAGGGAAGAAATTATTAACAGAGCTGTTAGGGCTGAAGAACTGAAGGTATGGCCAACCTCTAAAAGAAGATATTGCACCTTGCTCCCTCTGCTTTCCTGCTTTGTGCCACTAAGTTATTCCTGCCTTTCTCAGCACTTTCTATTTAGGGCTGTCATAATTGTCCATTCTGAATAAAGAGTCTTTAGTATTCTAGGTCTGACTCTTCACCTCTTCTGCAAGGAAAACATTTACAAGTCTTTCTGAAAATATAATCAAGATACTTAACATAAAATTGTTCCAATTCACTCGTTTGGTCCAATTATTTACACAGAAAACTCACATGAGGCATAATATTGGCACGTGGCAATAATATTAATGTAAGCTGAGAGTACTAGTTTATGATAACATAACAACTATTGGCAACATATGCATGAGTTCTATTATCATGCAATCAATGCATAGGATTATAAAAGGCATGGAGGGGCTGGCACTGTGGCTCAGTGGGTTAACGCCTGGCCTGAAGCACCGGCATCCCATATGGGCACCGGTTTGAGTTCTGGCTGCTCCTCTTCCCATCCAGCTCTCGGCTATGGCCTGGAAAAGCAGTGGAAGATGGCCCAAGTCCTTGGGCCTCTGCACCCACATGGGAGACCCGGAAGAAACTTTTGGCGCCTGGCTTCAGATTGGCACAGCTCCAGCCGTTGCAGCCAAATTGAGGAATGAACCATTGGATGAAAGACTTTCTCTCTCTCTCTCTCTGTCTGTCTCTCTCTCTCTCTCCTCTCTCTGTGTAACTCTGCCTTTCAAATAAATAAATAAATCTTTTTTTAAAAAAAAAAGGCATGGAGAACATTGACTGGGGAGAATGAATGAGAAAGGCAGATAAACTGGAAAGAGGAAATCTAGTTAAGGACTGCTGGGAAAACAGAGATGACAGATGATGAAAGTACGAAACAAGCTTTGCAATTTGGTATTTAGAATGATCCCCAGCGATAAGATATTCACAACTCATAAGCAAATCACTAAATATTACCCCTTTTCAAAATAGGCAAATTCCCTGGCCTTCTAAGAACATAATCCTTATTTCCCCAGCCCACATTCTCTAATTAAGGCAAGTTGTTTTGTTACTGATCTCAGCACAGAGTTGCCACATAGGATGCTTCACCCCAGCATTGGCCCGACTTCTCGCTCGTGTAGAGCCCGGAAGCCATACCTGGGCAGGGGCAAACCAGACACTCAGCTGTGATCTCTCTGGCCACAGCCTCTCACTAGGGAGTGGTCACCCAGCAGGAGCAGCATTCAAAATCAGGAACCAGGGTAAGGTCCTAGCTCCTTTAAGCTTGAGACTTTGGGGTCTCCTGAGAAGTCCCCAGAGACAAGTCTAAAAAAGGAAGATGGAAGGGAGATGGCCAGACAGCAGAGGATTCCTCCTCTGCCTTGCTGTCAGCCTTCTGCTCCAAGGTAAGATGGGACCCGCACAAGGAAGGGCAGGGTGCAGTTTTGAAGGGCATGCCCTGCAGCCCCTGGCGGGCATTCAGAGTTAGCCGGCTAAACAGTCCTTCCATAATGGCTGCCTCTTCATTTCCTTCCTGTAACAGAGAGACAGATCACTGGTGAGTACACAGCTCTGTTTTACTCATGCTTGCATAGGAATCTACCAAACTGTCCCATTTTGCCAGTTTTACAGTTCCATCTTTTCACTGAGTCCTGGTGCCGCACCTGCCACAGCCCTTTCCCTCTTCCCTTGTCTATGGTATCCACGAGAAGAAGGGACAGTTAAACCGGTTCTTAAGGATTAAGTACAACATTAAGAGAGGGTGAAGAGCAACTTGAGATTAAAAGAAGCAGATACTTCCTCGGGAGGGAATATTTATTCCCAATCCGGGTGCACACCTTAATATGATGGAGAGATGAAGGAGATACAGAGAAGGAAGCAGAGAAGACCATGCAACAGTGGCAACAGGGCAAAGGTTCTGCTCAGGTACGAACCACATGGCTCCCTGGCCTTGACCAAGACATGACATCTACATAAGCCTGTGATTGGGCATGCGTTATATGCTCAGTGAAGTCACCTAATAATTCCAGTGCTTGAAACAGCCCACAAGATTTTTGAGAAAAGCAAAATAAATGTATAGCACCAAGAGGTATGAACTCATTCAGAATTCTACTACTTGAATGTGCTTCCCATATCTACCTAGTAAGTGCAATTGTTTACTTTTCTTATCTGACATTTCAGTTCTCGCCTTCAATAGGTGGATGTCTGAGGGGACCTAGACTACAAGTTCTAGGGCAGTGCTAAGCAGGACCATTGGTGGGTGGAACCAAAAAGCTTATGATGTGGACATTAAGGGACTCTTTGAAGTCACTGCCATTGCACTAAGGTCAAGTTTGCATACAGATTTGAGCAGATTTTGTTTGAGAACAAAACAATGGAACTGAGAATGGAGTACTGACTCAGCTCACCACAGCGACTTCCACCATTTGCCTACCAGCCCGGCCCATCCTCCCCAACCCCGGCAGGAAGGGCTTTGGCCAGCAGAGCCTTCGTCCAGGAAACAGGGACTCACCTGCTCCTCCTAGAATGCCCTTTACTTTCTCTCTGCAGAGAGGCCACAGCCCTTGAAACAGAGGCCCTCTCTCACAGGCTCTCTGCTCTCCGCAGGAAGAGGCAACACCTTCACCATCAACTGCTCGGGCTTTGACCGGCATGGGGTGGATCCCGCTGTCTTCCAAGCAGTGTTTGACAGAAAGGCCTTCCGTCCAGTCACCAACCACAGCATCCCCACTCGTGTCAACATCTCCTTCACCCTGTCTGCCATCCTGGAAGTGGTGAGACCTGGTCCTGCATCTTCCCATAGTTTCTAGTAGGGAACACGGATCCCCCGCCCTCCCAGCTCAGTGGTCCCGTGCAGAAGAGCAGGTACCCTGAAGGGGTCGTGTGCAGACTGTGGGCGGAAAGCCATGAAGAAGAACGTTGCGGTGATTTTTTTTTTCAGGAAGCATTTGTCCTTGAGTCCTGTCCTCTCTGGAATGCTCTGTATGTCAATTAAAATTTGAAATGTCCCTACTCAAGGGGAAACCAGTAAGGAAAAGATGATCCAGCAGCCAGATCTATGGTTGGTCCATAAATGAGTGACTTTTGGTGAGGCTATGAGGTGGGTGGGGGCTGAATCTTTTTTGCACTAATAATCCTGGATGGGAATTTCTCTATCAGGACGCACAGCTCCAGCTGCTGACATCATTCCTGTGGATAGATCTGGTAAGGTTGATTCAACTACCCCCTTCCCTTTTCTATGTATATTTTTTAATTTGAGGAGTTAGAAGTAACTTAACGGTTAGAAAGCTAGAAGGTCCCAACCTCTACTCAAGGTATAAATCTTCCTGGAAAAAAAAAAAAAAAAGGTAAATCTAGAATTGGACTGGCCCTTGGGACATGAGCATCCCTGGGCAGCTTAGGAAGGTAAAAATGGCCTATATATAGGCGCTGGCACCGTGATGTACTGGGTAAAGCCACTGCCTGCACTGCCAGAATCCCATATGGGCACTGGTTCAAGATCCAGCTGCTCCACTTCCAATCCAGCTCACTGCTATGGCCTGGGGAAGCATTGGAAGATGGCCCAAGTCCTTGGGCCCCTGCACCCACGTGGGAGACCCGGAAGAAGCTCCTGGCTCCTGGCTTCTGGCTTTGGATTGGGTCAGCTCTGGCTGTTGCAACCATCTGGGGACTGAACCAGAAGATGGAAAATCTCCCTCTCCCTCTCTCTCTCTCTCTCTCTCTCTCTCCCTCTGCCTCTCTGTAACTCTGCCTTCCAAATAAAAAAAAATTAAAAAGAAAGACACGACCCATATAAAACCCCAATAAATGGTCACATGGCTGCAGGCCGGATAGATTGGTGTGTGCCTGGCTCTAAGTGGTTTTACGCCACGTTTAAGATCTTCCTGTGAAAAAGCCAGTAAGGAGCAGTTAGTTGATGCCGTCTTGTTAAATAAAGATGGGGAGATAGCCTGTGGTCATTTGGAAAACAAATGGGTGGGAGGGATCAAGGCACAGAGAAGACTGGAAAGGACAGGAAAGGCTGACTGGACAAGCTCACCACCAGTCACCCCTGTTCCTCGCTGCCCTGGCTGTAGACATGGGACAACCCTTCCATCAGCTGGAACCCAGAAGAGTGTCTTGGCATCAACGAACTCTCTGTATCAGCGGAACACCTGTGGCTCCCTGACATCTTCATCTTGGAATCGTGCGTATCTGGGGCTGAAACACCACCTGTGAAGAACAGCCTAGGCTCAGTGTGGGGCAGGGGCCACCACAGATTCAGACAGGGGCAGTCTCTAATGCCTGGCTTCCAGAAAGCACCATGAGCAGCAGCAGAGACAAGACACAGCCACATTGGAGGAAGAGTCCAGAAGGAGCCCAGGGGACACCTAGCGAGGGAGACCAGAACCGGTTAGGGCACCCACAGACCCACTCTCCCTCCTTTCCCAAACAGGATGAATGTGAATCTGACACCTTCAGGTTTCACTACCTTCATCAGTAGTGAAGGGCGAGTTAAGTACAGCATGCCAATGCGTGTGACCAGCATCTGCAACCTGGACATCTTCTACTTCCCTTTTGACCAACAGAACTGCACCTTAACCTTCTGTTCTTTCCTCTACACAGGTGAGTGTGACATGTGCGGTAGCTACTTAAGATGCAGAGGAAGGCATTTAAGGGTGGGCATATTGTTTAGGAACGTTGAGATCAATGCCTCTCAATTCTGGCTGCCTGCTAATGCTTTTTAAAAAGACCCATAACTTCAAGACTTTGTCTCACCCTAAACCAGGAGAATTCTTGCAGGTGCAGCCCAGGCCTCGTTTGTCTTTGTATCTCCCTAGGTGATACTAATGTGCAGACAGGGTCAGGAGCCACTGCTTTACATCTTGGAGGGCCCTTGTCCCACATGAGGGCCACAGGACCCTGAACCGCCACACGCCTACACATTTCAGCTCAAATATGTAAACTTTAGCAGCTAACAGACTCAAACCAGTAAATTAAAGTAACTGAATGCCACCAGGTATCATGCGGCAGATTTGGATAAGTTAATCATCATGACAAATACGTGTAATTATAAAAGTGTGGAGCTGTTCAAGTTTGGTTCCACTAAGACAGCATCATACAGTGAGGGAATTAAGAAGGAAAACAGGAATATCCCCAAAAGTTCTTGACTCATGTTTGAGTCATGGTCAATATTCCCATAACAACCTTGACTCGCTCTTGTTTTCCACAACAAAATCAATGCTGCCGCCTCTGCCCATCCGAGTTGTTGGTTGTATAACCTGCTTCTGAGAAAGCCAGAATGCCCTGCTACGAAGGACAGAGAAGAAAATCTGTGGAAGAAGCCCCGTGGGGGAGGAATCCAGTTTTATGGGCAGGAGGCTTGGGGACACTTCCGGAAGGAACTGACTGGGCCTCCCTTTCAGTGGACAGCATGCTCCTGGGCATGGACAAGGAGGTGTGGGAGATAACAAACTTGTCTCGCAAAGTCATTTGGACTCGGGGAGAGTGGGAGCTCCTGAGCATCAACAAAGCCACCCCAAAACTGTCCGTGGGCACAAGCCTCTACGACCAGATCATGTTCTATGTAAGTCCCCGGGTGCCACTTTGGCTTCTGATCCCAGTTACTCCATGACTTTCCTCTTGATCTAAGGCTCTTAAGGAACCTCTACCTGTCTACCCCAAAAATGGCTCCCTAGGCTCTCCCTTCCCTCCATACCTGCTGTGGTCACCAGGCAGAGGGGAGGAGCAACTGGGCTGTTAGAAGCACTCCTACTCAGAATGGACAGTTCAAAGGCCCCTAAGTTCCACAACCCTTGCATTCCCACAGGTTGAAAAGCAATCAAAATTAGAGCACAAATCAGAGACATGTAAGGGCACAGTAAAATAGGTTGTGTTATCTAAAAAGATGGCCCCACGGCCAGTTCGACAGGGTCGCATACACACAACAGGCCCCCGGCAGCCACTGGTTTGCCATCTTGCCCACCCTCTCTCCAGGTGGCCATCAGGCGCAGGCCCAGCCTCTACATCATAAACCTCCTGGTGCCCAGTGGCTTTCTGGTTGCCATCGACGCCTTCAGCTTCTACCTGCCAGCAGAAGGCCAGAACCGCGTGCCCTTCAAGATCACCCTGCTGCTGGGCTACAATGTCTTCCTGCTCATGATGAACGACTTGCTCCCGGCCACCGGCACCCCCCTCATCAGTACGGGCCCTCCTGCTCGCTGGAGCAGCCAAGGCAGTAGGGAACAGGGGGAGGGACCAGGACAGCTGGTGGTTTCTCCACTTGAGGAGGCATGGCGGCGGGGGGAGGGGTGTCTAAGGAAAGATTGGATTCGGAAAAGAGCTTCAGAAACACTTGGAGATGAACCTGCCTGGTTTATTTATAATCTGCTTCACCCTCAGGTGTCTACTTTGCCCTGTGTCTGTCCCTGATGGTGGCCAGCCTGCTGGAGACCGTCTTCATCACCTACCTGCTGCACCTGGCCACCACGCAGCCCCCACCCATGCCCCAGTGGCTCCACTCCCTGCTGCTGTACTGCACCAGCCCCAGGAAACAAGGCCCCGCTGAGCCCCAGGAGGGCAATAAGAGCCTGGGTCTCAGCCCCACCCACCTGCCAGGTAACAAAAGTCAGCACCACCCTCATGTCCTCTCCCTCCCCTCCATCCCTGCTCCTGTCACCGTCCCTGTCACCCTCCATCGCCAGTGACCGTAGCAGCCCACAGCTGAGTCTGTGTCCCCTCCACAGGCCTGAAGGAGCCGGTAGAGCTGGTGGGGAAGGTGCCAGGTCCCAGGGAGGCAGAGCTGCGTGTGTGTCCTGAGCCGACTAGGGCCCGGCCAGACCACGAGGCCCAGAAGCAGCACTTGGTGGAGCTGTGGGTGCAGTTCAGCCACGTGATGGACACCCTGCTCTTCCGCCTCTACCTGCTCTTCATGGCCTGCTCCATCATCACCGTCATTGTCCTCTGGAGCACCTAGGCAGGTGCTCACCTCTCACTGAAAACCATAGCTTGGGGTTTCTCCCGGTCTTAGGGCCAGGCACACCCAGACTGCTTTCTTCACTTTAACCACGCACCCCAAGGGACTACCTTGACTCCCATGCCTCTGTGTTCCATAAAGTCTCACCCAGCAATGCCAGGTAGGTTCAGAGCAGCCCTGGACAGTTTCTGGACCTTTCACCTGCCAGGGTCCTCACTTCTGTCATGCTTAGCGTCCCTGAGTCACATCCAACCCCTAACTCCCATTCAGGGACGCTGCCCGTTGATTGATCACCCAGTTATCCAGGAGGCACTGGCTCCTCCATGTTCATCACAGGTCCACAAACACTGAGGTGGAGAGTTCTGCAGAAGTTGGTGCTTCATCCTAAATAGGTATAATCTGATTGGATTTTTAAATACGTCAGACATTTCTAGAGTTTTAAAAGAATGAAAAGGTCAAGTCTCACTTTTGGGAAATTATTCCATTTGCAATAAAATATTTACAAATGCAAACTGTTCCATGTAACATTTCTTTTTCACTCTCCTTTATCTCTCTCCTCACTGGCGTTGCTCTTTGAAATAAATAACAAATGGCGTCATTCTTTTTTTGTTTGTTTGTTTTTGCCTGGCGGTTTCCTCTGATTTCCCAACACCAAGGAGAGCAGTCTTTCTGAATAGATATACTGGAGCAGGGCCAGGAAGACCTAAATAAGGGTCCTGGTTAAACCACCCTCCATTCAGCCACCCTGTGGAATGGGAGGCAGATACTGAAAATGGCCACATGAATGCTATGGAAAGAGGCCCACAATATATTACTTGTAGGAAAGAAACTACAAAACAACGTGTATGTGATTTCCATAAAACAGATGCTAGACCAATAAATAGATATACAGACACATACATAGATAGGGAGGTAGGTAGATAGATGACAGATAGGGAAGTATGTATGGATAACTAGACACCAAAGCATTAGGAAACTTTGTCCTAGATAACAAGTGATTGCTATTTTCTTTTATATCCTGTTCATGTCTTCAGAATTATTTTAAGTGGGCATTACTTTTACAAAAAAAAAAAAAAAAAACAATAAAATGAGGCTGGTGCTATGGTATAGTGGTTAAGCCTCCACCTGCAGCACTAGCATCCCATATGGGTGCAGGTTTGAGTCCTAACTGCTCCACGTCCAATCCAGCTCTCTGCTGGTGGCCTGGGAAAGCAGTGGAAGATGGTCAGAGTGCTTGGGCCCCTGCACCCATGTGGGAGATCCAGAAGAAGTCCCTGGTTCCTGGCTTTGGATCAGCCCGACTCTGGCAGTTGCAGCCATTTGGGGAGTGAACCAGCAGATGGAAGACCTTTCTCTCTGTCTCTCTCTCTCTCTATAATTCTGCCTCTCAAATGAATAAATAGTTTTTAAAAAACCAATAAAACAATTTTTATGAAATGTTCCTTTTAAAATAGTACATAACATATTTTTTTAGTTGACAGAGTTTACAGACAATGAGAGAGAGAGACAGAGAGAAAGATCTTCCTTCTGTTGGTTCACTCTCCAAATGTCTGCAATGGCCAGAGCTCCGCTGATCTGAAACCAGGAGCCAGGAGTTTCTTCCTGGTCTCCCATGCGGGGTGCAGGGGCTCAAGCACTTGGGCCATCCTCCACTACTATCCCAGGCCACAGCAGAGAGCTGGACTGGAAGAGGAGCAACCAGGACTAGAACCCGATGCCCATATGGAATGCCGGCGCTGCAGGTGGAGGATTAACCTAGTGCGCCTCGGCGCTGGCCCCAGTATATAACATCTTTTTTTTTTTTTTTTAATTTTTTGACAGGCAGAGTGGACAGTGAGAGAGACAGAGAGAAAGGTCAGCTGGCGCCGCAGCTCAACAGGCTAATCCTCCGCCTAGTGGTGCCGGCACACCAGGTTCTAGTCCCGGTCGGGGCACCGGATTCTGTCCCGGTTGCCCCTCTTCCAGGCCAGCTCTCTGCTGTGGCCAGGGAGTGCAGTGGAGGATGGCCTAAGTGCTTGGGCCCTGCACCCCATGGGAGACCAGGATAAGTACCTGGCTCCTGCCATCGGATCGGCACAGTGTGCCGGCCAAGCGCACTGGCCGTGGCAGCCATTGGAGGGTGAACCAACGGCAAAAGGAAGACCTTTTTCTCTGTCTCTCTCTCTCACACTGTACACTCTGCCTGTCAAAAAAAAAAGATAGAAAGGTCTTCCTTTGCCGTTGGTTCACCCTCCAATGGCCGCCGCGACCGGCGTGCGGCGGCCGGCGCACTGCGCTGATCCGATGGCAGGAGCCAAGCACTTGGGCCATCCTCCACTGCACTCCCTGGCCACAGCAGAGAGCTGGCCTGGAAGAGGGGCAACCGGGACAGAATCCGGCACCCTGACCGGGACTAGAACCCGGTGTGCCGGTGCCGCTAGGCAGAGGATTAGCCTAGTATATAACATCTTAATCAATGGATTCTAATCATTAGTGAAAAGCAAGGCCCTGAAGAGAGATAGAAATTAAAAGAAAAAGTGAAAGAATACCAAAGAGAAATTTCTGAATTATATTTCAGTTACGCAAGTACCTATCAGTCATTTATTTACCTTTCTGTGTCCTCTAAGACAATGTGCTTTCCTTAAGACCAGGACAAAGTCTCACCCGTTCTTATCACTTAGCACATGATAACACATCTCACACATAATAGATTCTTTTTGTTTGTTTTAAAGATTTATTTATTTGAAAGGCAGAGATACAGAGAGAGAGAGAGGTCTTCCATCTGATGGTTGACTCCCCAAGTGGCCACAACAGCTAGAGCTGGGCTGATCCAAAGCCAGGAACCAGGAACCCAAGCACTTGGGCCATCCTCCACTGCTTTCCCAGGCCATAGCAGAGAGCTGGATCGGAAGTGGAGCAGCCGAGACTCAAACTAGTGCCCATATGGGATGCTGGCACTGCAGGCAGCAGCTTTACCCGCTATACCACAGCACTGGGCTCTGACCATTTATTATCTTTTTAATAAAGTTATTATTTAATGAATACAAATTTCATAGATACAACTTTAGGAATATAGCCGTTCTTTACCCCATACCCACACTTTCACTCCCACTCCTGTCCCACCTCCCTACTCTCTCTCCCATTCCATTCTTCATTAAGATTCATTTTTAATTAACTTTATATACAGAAGAACAACTCTATACTAAGTAAAGATTTCAACAGTTTGTACCCACACAGACACACAAAGTATAAAGTACTGTTTGAAGACTAGTTTTACTGTTAATTCTTATAGTACAGCTCATTAAGGACAGAGGTCCTACATGGGGAGTAAGTGCACAGTGACTCCTGTTGTTAATTTAGCAATTAACATTCTTATGTATGACATCAGTGACCACCCAAGGCTCTTGACATGAGCTGCCAAGGCTATGGAAGACTTTTGAGTCCACAGTCTCCGTCAGTATTTAGATAACCCCATAAGCAAAGTGGAAGTTCTCTCCTCTCTCTAGAGAAAGTTTCTTTCTTTCTTCCTTCCTTCCTTCCTTCCTTCCTTCCTTCCTTCCTTCCTTCCTTCCTTCCTTCCTTCCTTCCTTCCTTTCTTTCTTTCTTTCTTTCTTTCTCTTTCTTTCTTTCTTTCTTTCTCTTTCTTTCTTTCTTTCTTTCTCTCTCTCTCTCTCTCTCTCTCTTTCTTTCTTTCTTTCTTTCTTTCTTTCTTTCTTTCTTTCTTTCTTTCTTTCTTTCTTTTTGACAGACAGAGTTAGACAGTGAGAGAGAGAGAGAGAAAGGTCTTCCTTCCATTCGTTCACCCCCCAAATGGCCGCTATGGCTGGCGCACTGTGCCAATCCAAAGCCAGGAGCCAGGTGCTTCCTCCTGGTCTCCTATGCGGGTGCAGGGGCCCAAGCACTTGGGCCATCCTCCACTGCCTTCCCGAGCCACAGCAGAGAGCTAGACTGGAAGAGGAGCAACTGGGACAGAATCCAGCGCCCCAACTGGAACTAGAACCCAGGGTGCCAGCACCGCAGGTGGAGTATTAGCCAAGTGAGTGGCAGCGCCGGCCTGCCTTCTTTGATGGCCCCTTCTTTCCACTGGAGTCTCACTCACAGAGATCCTTCATGTAGAACATTTTTTGCCACTATGTCTTGGCTTTCCATGCCTAAAATGCTCTCATGGGCTTTTCAGCCAGATTCGAATGCGTTAAGGGCAGATACTGAGGTCAGAGTTGCTGTTTAGGGCATTTGTCATTCTATGAGTCTGCTGTGTGGACTGCTTCCCATATCATAGATTCTTATTTTTTTAAAGATTTATTTATTTATTTATTTGCAAGAGTTACACAGAGAGAGAAGGAGAGTCAGAAAGAGAGAGAGAGAGAGAAGGAGAGAGAGAGAGAGAGAGAAAGAAAGTGTTCCATCCGCTGGTTCACTCCCCAACTGGCCTCATTGGCCAGAGTTGCGCCAATCAGAAGCCAGGAGCCAGGAGCTTCTTCCAGGTCTCCCACGAGGGTTCAGAGGCCCAAGCACTCAGGTCATCCTCCACTGCTTTCCCAGGCCATAGTAAGAGCTAGAAGTGGAGCAGCCTAGACTTGGACTGGCATCCATATGGGATGCTGGCACTGCAGACGGCGGCTTTTACTCGCTGCACCACAGTGCCGGCCCCCATAGCTTCTTCATACATGATACACTAAGTACAGAAAAGAAGTTAAAAACCAGTATGTATACATAATTTCTGTAATATAGAGATAGATAGATAGATGATAGAAAGATAGATAGATAGATAGATAAACACAGATTACTAGACACTAAGATTTGCTAATGTTGAAGGAGTAAAAGTATGAATGAACAGCAGCCAACCAAGAATCCACGTTTTACTAGCTCTAGCTATAATCCTTGTACCCCTTCCTGTATATATTTTACTTTATTTTCCATCTACTGTGGAAAATTGGCAACCCATCTTCATATGGCAACTTAGCCATCTCTGAGTTCTTAGAGATATTACTTACACACTGGCAAAAGGATATCCGTTGTCAGAGTCTCTCCGGTTTCCTTCTCTTTTTTATACTTGGAATGCCAGCATCCCATGTGTGCGCTGGTTTAGGTCCTGGCTGCTCCACTTCCAGCTCCCTGCTAATGCACCTGGGAAAGCACCAGAAGACGGCCCAGGTCCTTGGTCCCCTGCACCCACGTGCGAGACCTGGATGAGCTTCCTGACTCTTGGCTTCAGCCTGGCCCAACCCTGGCCATTGCGGCTATTTGGGGAGTGAAGTAGCAGATGAAAGATCTCTCTGTCTCTCCCTCTCTCTCTGTAACTTTGCTTTTCAAATAAATAAAATAACTCTTTGGGAAATAAAAATCAGTGTTTGCTTCAGCAACATATATACTAAAAAAAAAAAAAAAAAAAAAAAAAAAGATCGTCTTTGTATCATTTACTTT